GAGAGAGAGAGAGAGGGAGAGACTGATACAGAGAGAGAAAGAGGTTGGGGGTTTGGGGGTTGAGGGCTGGTGAAGTAAAAGCGACTACTTTTAAGTTTCTCTCAAAGACATCTTTACTCAAAGAACAAGTACCGTACTTAGATCTTGCATCACATCACATCTTTCATCAAGTCCTAGCCCAAAAGCTCAGAGCGTAGACAAAAAATGAGCAAGTCAGCACATTGGATGAGACTGCGGACAAATCGGTTCTGCCAGAGGTTGGAGCCCCGCCACCATACGTCACTGCTGTCAACAACAGGTCCTCTCCTCACCTCTCCTCTTCCTCACCTCCTCTTCCTCCACGTCACTATCACTCGCTGGGACACATTGCTGGCATTCTTGGCCCAGGTCTCCCTCCTAGGTCTCTGCACCGGACTCTGCGATGTCACTTCCGGTTTCCTGTCAAGTCTTTCGTTTGTTCGTTTCTTTATTATAATAATATTATCAGAGATGATGATTTTCCGGATAATTCCGGAAATCCGAATTTCTAAAATTGTTCTGAAGTTGTTCGGATTTTTCTCGTCTTCGTAATACAAGATAGATTAAACAATAATAGTTATGGCTCGTAAAATTTGTGACTCCTCGTTTGCGTTCCCACGGTGTCCGAACAGTTTAGAATTGTGATTTTGCAGCGACTTGGCTCCTCTGCTTTCTGAATATTACGGTGTACATGGCGTAGTAGTTGGCTGCTAGCTGTTAAAGGGGGAAAGGGGTGGTGGAGGCGCTACACACCGGAAGTCCCGATTCGGCTGAAAATTAAATATTTTAAGTTGTATTCATTTTTAGCTTCTTCAACCTCTTTTACAACTCTTTCATTGCATAAGAACCCCTAAATCCTTATTTCTTCACATAACGGGCATGCTTGTCACAACCATTTCCTCATAAAGTCAATCTGTTATTTTTCTTTATCGCCCGTTTTCTCGAAAAAGGGGTTTTTCTTTATATTTTTAGAAATAACTCCTCAATTTTGCATCCAATCTTCATGACATTTTCACAGAATGAAGAGAAGATATCGTACTAAAACGTTGTGTATCCTGCCCCCTAAATGATCAATTTTGTCTCAAAGGAGTGGGAGTAACATATTGGTCGCTTTTAAGCACAATTGGGGCTATCCCGAAAACTGCTATATAGAGAAAATCGAAGGTAAAGGTTTTGCCCCTTGTCCAGTTTCTTTAAAAGACAAAGAAAGTTTTCTCTATATCCAAACAAATATACATGTGCACACACCAAAGAAACCAAAATGCTCCTATAGGTAGAGCAATACCCACTTTAGGTGTAGGTCAAGATGTCTGGAAACCCCTGAAATCTGGGTCAGCCCGCTGTTCCTTAAAAGCGACCATTTATAAACACCTGTATGTAAAGCAGAAGCTGTGATGTAATATAATAATAACAATAATAATTGCATTTATATAGCGCATATCCATGCCCAAGAGCATGCTCTATGTGCTTTGCAACTATTATTACCCCAGCAGACCCTCTGAGAACACTCAGAAACATTCTCGGCTTCTGCGGAAGCATACAGTGCAAACTGCGTATTTCACGCGCTCAAACACTATCAAACTGACAAAATCGTTCACTGTCAATATCCGGGTACCCATTTCTACCTGGGTGAAGTGAGGAAAATGTGTGCAAAGTCTTTTTCTCAAGGACACAAAATCGGGCCTCTGACGGGATTCAAACCCACGACCTTACGGTTGCGAGTCCGAGAGCCTAACCACTAGGCCACCGACCTATATATGATATATAAAGAATTAGTATTGGCCCACAAGGATTGAATGTCTCCTAATGGAAGGGAATTGTTTTTCTTTTAATTGTTGCCTAGGGCTTGCTCCTATTGCACGCATAGCAACAAAGCGGAATGCGAAGGTGTGGGATAGAGTTTCGTGTGCCCCATTTAAATATTGATGCTTAAACTAAGCGTGTTTCTGAGAGCAAGTGTGTGTGTGTGTGTTTGTGTGTGTGTG